AACCCACATTTGCGTCTCTGCCTTCGGCCGAGGAACATTACGGTTTGTGTATGGTAATCTTAATACAATAAAGCACTTCCAAGCTGTATTTAATTTCGTTTAATTTCGAAAATTATTTCACAATAAAATTAATTATTTTTTTATATTATCGAAGATACAGTGCAGATTCGTTTCATTGAAGGTAATCATATCACGATGTTGGCAAACCACCAAGTTGCTTATGCCATTAATGAAGATATTTTATAGAAGATAATCTTGATAAACTTAACAAATTAATCTTAACTAATTAAAATAATTATTTGAAATGGATATTTTCACTATATTATTTTTTGGAAAATAATAGAATTTTTATCAACATATTTGTGACTACAATTATGAAATCACTCTATAAACTCTCGCCGATGTCGATGAATATCTATACGTATAACTTAGTCTGGTTTTATCAGCCGAATATTTTTAGTTTTTGTGTGTTGATTTTTTTACTTTGACATTTATTTATGACAAGACATAGGTGTCAACATAACACGTTTAGTACGATTGAAAATTGAGCCTGATATAGTGTATATTAGCCACTGCTTTTTATTAGTTTTCAATAAAAGAAAAATGCTGCTGATAGACAGATTCATTTATGAGATTTATGGTAAAGATATTATATCCATCATCGAGAGGGAATATATAATAAACCGGAAATATAATATTTGATTGCGGAGATGTGAGTCTTAAATTTCACAAAGATGCGTCTCAACAATCTTATGTATTATAAATATTACATGTTTTGCAATTTCTATACTATGCAGGGGCACGCAAGATAAAATGAAAGCGCATCTGCCGAATTCGGTTCAGCGCGTTCTCCCCAATTATTAGATGTAGTCAATAGTTGTTAGCCAACAGCATTTCTAACTAGTTTGGCCTTAATGGACCATATTATACTTTAGATACGGTTTGCATTTCAAGCCATTACGCCATGGCGGAAGCTTACAGAATGATACGAAGTGGAGAATGCGATGCTGCTATCGTGGGGGGCGCCCACGTATGTCTGCATCTTAACAATTCACTTCAATTTTTACAACTCGGTAAAGTTATACTTGTGAACCTGTTTATTCATTTGCATCTAAACATAATAACGGCAAGAACTCTTGGAATTGCTGTTATTATCATTCATTTTGTTCTGAAATAAATGTATTTTTGACCACAAAAAAACGGACCGAATTAATTTGTACTCCCAATATGTTATTTTAAGCCTTGAGCTTTAAGAAATTGACTAATCACAGTTTATTATTCTCTTCACATTGGACTGTGATTGGTCAATTTCTTAATGCTTAAAATACCTATTATAGACCGATACTGGCACGAACATCGTTGCGAGCGTTAAATGGAACCATAGACATAGTAAGAATAGACCGAGCATATTCTCTAATAAGCATTGAAAAGGAGATAGAATGAGATGGACAGCAGATGCCTCCATCATTGCTTACTAGAGAACATACTCGGTCTATTCTTACTATGTCTATGAGTGGAATCCGCCCTTAAACACGGTTTTTGTCTCATATATCGACATTTAGTACTGGACGGAGCATTGGTCTGAAATTGTACTGACAGACGAATAAAGAGACAAGCCGATGTGTAGGTAGGAGTGGCTTATAAAGCAACGGGACCATGAGACACTTACAATTCTATTATTTTAATTAATTTTTTTTATAACAGTAAGAATATAAGTATGCTAGAATATAAGGAAGAAGGAAAAGTTGCAACTTAAAAATGTTTATGGAATATATAACGTAAATCATATCATTCGTATATAGTAACGTCAAGAATATTCACTTTTAAGATTAATACGATACTGTTCCCGTTCTTCTTAAACAAAATTTAATTAATAAACAGAGAATAGAAAGAGAGATTTGTGCCTACACATCTAGCTCTCTTCTTCTAGGTCTCTCAATACGAAAGATCAAAAAAATCTTGTCGCTCCGTCAAATACTATATGTCGATGGTCTCACAGGCCTATTTATTGGCTCCCATCGCGCTAGTGTTCATTTTAGTATGTTATATAGAGCACATTTGCAACGATAGCAAGCATCGTTCTGTCTTTGTTTAACATTCAAAAAAAACAAACATAGAATAATGTTCGTGATCGTTGCGAGCATTAAGTGGCACGCAACCATAGTAGGACGTGACACGTAGCCTGTTCTTTATAGCTACGTTGCTGAACTGGTGTAATAAGTAGAGTGAGACAAGTATATTTTATCTCGCTCTAACTTATTGCACAGTTCAGCAGATCTGCTATAAAGAACAAACCAACGCTCATTGAGGATATAACATCTAGAGGAAATATTAGGGACTCTAGAAATTCTCTATCTAATGGCCAATCGGCACATCCAACAAACTCATACTGTCTTCTGTCCACAGGATAAGATAACACTTGTCGCACGGCAAGAAGCGACACAGTAGCCAATCAACGTGCTGTTCTTCCACGAGAACTGAAAGTTTATTGGCTGCCGCATCGCTTCTTGCCGCGCGTCGGAAAATCGCGCGGTAGCCAATCAACATGCCGTTTTCCAGTAAGAACTAGAAATTTATTGGCAAGCGTTGCCACGTCCTATGAGCAGAAGCCAACACGATGCATCCTCAATGTGCAAACATCGATGTTTTTCAAACATCGATGATTTTGCCTTTCCTGGAACCAATATTGAGAGAGAGAGAGAGAGAGAACAGTCATATGTTTTCTATCGCGCTGTCATATCTGTCACTGTCAGGTCCACTGTCAAGTGCACTGTTAAATGCGCTGTTAAGTACGCTGGCATCGGTGACAATTGATGAAAATCGACTTCGTTCAACCACGTTATTCGCACGTCCAACAATTTCGATTGTGCCTTCCTTTCTTAATCGCGTGTCGTCTTCGCGTACGACGTAACCTGTTCTCTCGCGCTCCGTTATTCGTGCAATTTCGTTTAGACGATTTCGCATCCGCCTACGACTTTATCTTCGGTTTCGCAGGTAAATCTTGACGCTTCCACGTGTAAACCGCAATGCACGAGTACTGCACAACTTAACGAGGTCAATTCGCTGTGTTGGTGAATGCTTCATGTGCAGAACTTGAGGTAAAAGTAATATTGCTTCTTCCATGGAGAATTCACTTCTCTATTTTTTTGGAAACGTCGCACAAAAGTAGCCTGTTAATATTTGATCAGCAGAGAGGCTAGAAAGAACGTAGAAGACTAGGCAAAATTTGTTTGAAGGTGGTACTGGACTATATGGGAAGAATGAACAGGAAAACCAATAGTGCGTCAGCCAGGCTAAAGCAGGACTACCTCCGCCTCAAGAAGGACCCAGTACCATATGTACTAGCAGAACCAGTACCTTCTAACATATTAGAATGGTAAAGTTTAATAATACGAATGTTGAATAAACACTTACTATATATTTTACCTATGTATTATATAAGCATACTGTTGTTTCAGGCATTATGTGGTGAAAGGACCAGAGAAGACTCCTTACGAAGGTGGCTTCTATCATGGCAAGTTAATATTTCCAGGGGAGTTTCCATTCCAACCACCTAGCATTTACATGACTACACCAAATGGCCGATTCAAAGTCAATACCAGATTGTGTTTGTCCATTTCTGACTTCCATCCTGATACATGGAATCCAGCGTGGAGTGTGTCTACTATTCTTACTGGGTTACTTAGTTTTATGGTAATTTTTTTCATATACAAATTAAAAGAATGCAATGTATATTAAAAGTATTCCAACAGTTATAAAACTTATACTCAAGTTATATTTTATAATAACATGATATATACTACAATTATATATTTATATTTAAGTTATACTTGACACAATCATATGATATGTACTATATATACTTATATTTAGGTTATATTGTATAATCACGATATATACTTTAATATTATGTATAATAATATTATATTCTTATATTTAATTATACTTTATACTTATATTTATATTTAATTATACTTTATAATCATACTTATACAGATCGAGAAAAGCCCTACGCTCGGTAGTATTAGTACAACAGACGATGAGAAAAGACAGCTAGCTGCGCAGAGCTTAGAGTACAATTTGAAGGATAAGATGTTCTGCGAGCTCTTTCCAGAGACTGTTGAAGTAGATATCACTTCCACTTCCTATGGAATATTATAACACTACAATATTACATGAAAATCATTTCCGGTTTATATCACAGGTAATCCAAGCCGAACTAGAACGACGGAAAGAGCTGGAAAAACAAGCGAGGCACCAGTCCACTGCATCTGAAGTTTCTTCGCTGATACGGGACCAGTTGCAAAGAGAACAGAGCCCATTCCACAGCGCACTAGCCAATCTCGTCGTTATTATCGGCTTCGCGGCATTCGCTTACACAGTGAAATATGTACTGAGGAGCATCGCCACAGAATGAATAGAAAGCGACTCAAAGATACCATCAAATCACGGTGATTGTAAAGCGGAAAGAAGCCGTGATGATCCTATGCGTAAATTTTGGGACGATGATAAGAGAACTAGAAAAAGAAGAGAAAAAATGAGAAAAGGAAGGCTCCCATATTCTAATACTTGCCTGTTTGTATCTACCCGTCGAAGCTGCACGGTACCGTTTAAAGCTGCACAGCTTCGAATCTTCGCCAATATAGGCTTGTGGGTATTTGATAGATTTTTATATCGATGTCGATTGTAAGATATAAGCTGTACTATAAGCGTGAGTTCTACTTGATAGCTATTATTGAAGGAAAGTATAAGTCACAATCTCCTGTTTGTTTGGTTGCTTTCGCTAATCGCAGTCGCTAAGTCATATTTTGTTTCTTGTTGATATTGATCCACAGGTTCAATTAAATTCTTGCCAACTTTCAGTGGTGAGAAATTTAGCTGTGATTCTTTCTAAATTTCTCGGAGTAAAATCTCGTGCTCGAGGCAATAATGACAATTATTCTCTTGCTCGAGGTAGTAGTGACAATTATTTTGCCACTCGAAATCGTAAATGTTTCACTCTATTTTAGAATGTTCTGATCTCTTTATGCAAAGTGAATATTTCAATTGATTAGAATGCTTTGAAAGACTTCAGAGTATGGTTTTAAAGTAAACTTGGTCCTATAATGGTTGAATGCATCAAATCTATTCTTCAATTTCGAATGAGAATATTCCCTCTGTTATTTAAAATGAAAAATTTACTCTAGATGAGTGTAAAGTTATCGAATCTGAATAGTTCGGCTGTTTGCTTTTCGAGTGAAATTTCACTCCGAAAATGATTTACAATGATTTACAATGATTTAGAGTCCAAATGAGATCGTGAGATGAGATGACGTGATCATTGCAATTTTCTGTTTCTTTCGCACTAAAATTTACATTCTTTTGACCTTTTGCGACTTGTAACTAGGATCTGCGTCACATTATTTTTTCTTGCATCGGATTTTATACGGGTTTGATATCTGTCGGGTTAACTGTGCGTCTGTTACTTAATACTTTGAGGATCGGTGTCCGTAAGCGTTGATTAAGGCCCGTATTTATAGTTATTTCTTGAGACTTGTTTCATGTGAGATATTTCAGTTGAGTTTTTAAATTGAAAATTGTCTTGAGATGTGACACAGTTCAATAGACGGATCTTGAAAATTAATTTGGTATTTCTAACGTCATATTCGATTTGGAATCGATATATTGATCACTTCTCAACATATATTTGTTTAAAACCTGACATAGAAGAATTGATTTGATTAGAGGAATTGGAAAACCTCATTTATTCTTTGCGGCTTTTCAATTCGAGGGAGAATGTACTGCATAACTAATTCTTTTCGAAATCTGTATTTTCTGATGAACTCATTTTCGGATCATTATTTAAAAGGATTTTGTGTATCTTTGGTATAACGTTTTGGTAAACGTTGTAATTCAATGTGTTCATTATATATATCATATTCATTAAAAATATCATAATTTTTCACCCAGTCTGCACGTTATTCATTGAGCTTTATAATATACTGTAATAAATCTTCTCTGTACTAAACTATACAAATCTGCAATCCNATATATATATATATATATATATATATATTACAACGTTTACCAAAACATATATTATATATATATATAATTTTTTTTTTTTTTTAATGGGACACTTCCACTTCTTGATGGCTCATTCCAATATACTATAGAGCTTAATGATTCTATCACATCAGATTTTATAGATTAATCTTAATATGCATACTATTTATATTTCTATATCAAATTCTTTATTCTTATATATTTAGAATAAAAAGTTGTGACTTATTATGTACTAATATTTAATTGAAATCTCTTCTCAAGTCATCTCTAGACTATTCTTGAGTGATATTCAGTTTTTCAAAGCTTTCCTCTGCCAAAGGTGTGTATACACCTAGCGAACGAACAGCAAATATGTAATGTATTCGCGTCTAAACGAACTTTCTTTAAAATTATCTGATAAGCTACTTTATCTGATGAGCTACTTTCTTTTAAATTATCTGATAAGCTACTTTACTAAATTATCCTGAGACGTTTTGTTCGGATTTGTTACGACATACACATTTTCTAAAATGTAATAAAGAAAGCTTGCATTTGCTGTTCTTTCGTTGTTCGTGCGCTAAGTATATATGCATCTTAATATTTCAACGACTATTAATACGCGAACATATAAGCTTTTTTTAAAAATCGATTGCTGAATTGTATGAAATAGTATTCAAACTACATCCTAAAATAAACTTCAAGTTTCTCAATTGAGTCACAATCATAAATATGACATCACGAATATCAAATTGACTTTCAAGATCTATTTATTGAACCATATCATGTTTCTCTCAAAATAGGACTCAGCTGAACTTCTTAGCTGAAACGTGACTATAAATATGGACCTAACAGGAACATTGATTCATATGCCTTCGATCTCCAAAAATATTCATTTGGACTTTTATTTACACGAGGAAATCTTTCTCGGGTAGAAGCGTACAAATTTATCACATTGTGCGACGTGCCAATAAGACTATAAGTCTAAACTGATAATAGAGTATAGATGGATGAAATTAGGCTTTTCGCAATCTGATTTAATCCGCTCGTTAAAAGTGAGTCCATTTTGTAAATATATCATAAGGACGCAGTCGTATTATATACCAGCGAGGTTTGACTTCTTTTTATCTCTGTGACTACGTTTATATAATAACGTTAATCCGGTTAGTAACAATTCGTTAGTGAACTATTGTATTTGATTGGCATATATCCTTTTAGATAAAAAATATACTCCAATTAAATGCATAAGTTCGCTAATTACGGTAATTACTAAATCGGATTATCGTTGCCGTGTAAACAAAGACAATTTTACGATTGATATTTCTTTGTTTACTCTTCGATTAAAGCAGGCCTGCCGCTAATTTACATTTTTCCATGGATTTCGTCAACTGCCATCCCTACTTCTCTCGTTTCATAGTATCTAAGCTCTTTTTGGAAACATAAGATGTTCAATCTCAGGGATAGTATTTGCTAGAAATTATATGAAGATTTGACGAGTGTTGCTCCACGTGCTATTCATTGTTTAGAGTATTATTAATTTTATAATATAATATATTAACAATAACAACAATAACAACAGCAACAACAACAACAATAATAACAATAATAATAATATCAATTGAAATAGTGAACAGCATACGGAGCAACACTTGTCAAACTCCCATACAATTTCTACACTGAAACAAACATTTACTGATAAAAATAAAATTCAATTTTAGTAAACTGTTAGCATGCAATTATAAATTCATTTTTTTAAATAAACAATTTATTTACTTGTTTAACGAAAATAATTCTTTAAATTAAATTACTTACTAAATATAAAAAAATATTTTCTATTATACAATAAATATTTATTAAAATATATAAAATATTTACTGTTACGCAACAAATTTTGTATTATTTTTAATTAGTTTCTATATTTATTATATCTTTTTTGTTGTGTTGTTTTTAGATCTTATCAACGATTTCTCC